CCTACTCTAGGTTTACCGTAATAAGTCACATTGTACTACCATTTTATCCCTCCTTTTATACATGTTCGTGCTAAAAAAATGATGGGGCCCACATGTGCCTTCAAGGATGGTCCTCCATCAGACCATCATTGCCAAATCACGCCGGGTGCAAGGTTAGTCACGCCAGGCAGAATTTGGTTACTGAATATTGCGCCAGGCGCAGCATAATTGCATCGGGCACATCTGTTTGAGTTTTGCGCCGGGCGTGATATTAGTGCGCCGGAGTGAGTATGTTGGTCTTGAAGTCTTCATGAAAGTTATAGCCTTGGATGTTAGCTTTCCAATGGCGTTGGAATCACCCAAAAAGGAGGTCTAGAACTCCAGATATGACTGTTTTAGTGAACAGGGGTCAAGCTGCTAGCATTAGTTATAGCTGTTGCGATTTTTAGAATTTTTAACAAAGTAGATGATGGAATTAGGACTTAATGTCTTCATAAGAGTTGTAGGAAATCTTCTTATCTTTCATATTAGATAAGTATGAGCATGATATGAGTAGTATAACTCTTAATATGCTATTTTATGTGAAGATTATGATTTCACAAAGGGTAATTTGGTTAAGTTGATAGTTAGTAATTTACATGGTTATGGAAAATTTTGTATGTAATTATGGAATATGCTATGTGTTTTTGGTTTGGAAAGCTAATAGGACTTAGAGGAGTAAGGTTATGGTATGGATTAGGAGATCTCTTCGTGAGATCAGGGTATAATCTTTGGAAAAATATGGAATTTGGGAATCCCATGGTGAGGATTCCAATATGGAACTTTTCCAAAGATTATATAATAAACCACTTCAGATGTTAGGTGGATTCTGAAGTACTTCTCTAAGTATTCTATTTGCTACCAGTATGGGGCAAGGCCGAGTCATACCGATGGATGAAGTGGCCGCGATCACCAGGGTTATGTGACGACGTAACCCAACTGTATATTTTCCATGAGTGGTTGGGTGTGTGATATGGACAGGTGACATGTTCACAAATTCAACACTTGGTTTGGATGTGTTGAGGCTAACATTTGGTTTGGATGTGTTTGCTACTTCATGGGATTATACAGTGGTGTGACTTTGGTTTGGATGTGGAATATGTATGCATTTGGTATGGATTGTATACATTGGTTATGGATTCTTTATTATCATAGAATATGTATGAATTGGCATGGATGTGTATACATTAGACTTTGGATTGGTTTATATTTGGCATGGAAATGACTTGTTATAATGTTGTCATTCCCTTAGTATGGATACATACTGCTGATGAATATCTAGTTTAATATATTTCATTATGTTGTACTATGGTTGGTTTTATACATGTTAACCCTTATATTTTCATGATGTTGACTGTGATAATCTCATTATGTGGGAGAGTAGATCAGGTGTGAGGCTTTGGGATAGTAAGGAGTCTTTTGGTAGCTACATTGAGAAGTGGCTAGGCTTAGAGCTTGACTAGCACCTAGGGTGTCTTATTTTGATGTCTTCATGACGTTGTATATTCATTATCTTTTTGGATTACTGTATAACCTTGCTGAGGATGACTCTTTTATAAAATTATGTTTTAGATGATGAAAACAATTTATACGTTATTGTATATTTACACTCTAGTGTAGCTGGCCTTTGCTCTATTTTCTTTATTATATATTATTTTATTTTAGTTGTCATATTGGTTATTAATGTGACGGCCTATAGCGGGTCGTTACACCAACTGTGTATTTTCCATGATAGGTTAGGTGTGTAACATGGGCAGGTGACATGTTCACAAACTCAACACTTGGGTTGGATGTGTTGAGGCCAACATTTGGTTTGGATGTGTTAGCTACTTCATGGGATTATACAGTGGTGTGACTTTGGTTTGGGATATGAAACATGTATGCATTGGTATGGATGTGTATACATTGGATTTTGGATTTGTTTATATTTGGCATGGAAAAGGACATGTAATAATGTTTTCATTCCCTTGGTATGGATAAATGTTGATGATGAATATCTAGTTTGATGATATTTCATTTATATTGTATTATGGTTGGTTTTATACGTGCTAACACTTATATTTCCATGATGTGGACTGTGATGATCTCACTATGTGGGGGAGCAAACCAGGTGTGAGACTTTGGGATGACAAGGAGTCTTTTGGTAACTATTTTGAGAAATGGCTATATTTAGAGCTTGACCAGCACTTAGGGTGTCTTATTTTGATGTTTTCCTGATGTTGTATCTATATTATCTTTTGGATGACTGTATAACCTTACTGGTGATACTCTCTTATAAAGTTATGTTTTATATGATGAAAACTATTTGTACGATTTAGACTATTTTCACTCTAGGATAGCTAGCATTTGCTCTCTTTTCTTTATTTTATATTATTTATTTTAGTTGTCCTATTGGTTGTTGATGTGACAAACTAAGGTGGGTCGTTACAATTAGGGTTAACCCGAATTCGATGGTAACTAGATCACAAGTCAATCTTAGATAAAATGGTAACACCATCTAGTTCATCCAGTAGCTTATTAATAGTGGGGATGGAAAACCTATCTTTAATGGTATTAGCATTAAGAGCTATATATGTAATCAACATAGAACCTCCATGTTCCACCTTTTTTTCCTCTCTCTCTCTCTCTCTCTTTTTTCCTGAATGAGCAACATAGGTGAAGAAAAATGACTTGTACTTAGACGAATGAGACTGTTTTGTAGCAATTTTGTGATGATATTGGTCTTTGTGAGTATAAAGGTATCAGTAATGCTTAATATTGATAGGGGTAGAGTTAGGCAAAAAAGTAATGTTGTGATCATAGGGTCTATTGGGTGGGAGGCCATGTGGAATGGAGAAAATAGTTTGATATTATGTGAGTAGTGATTAAATCTGTGGGTGTAGGTGAGTAATGGGATCAGGTAAAAAAAGTGGGGAGGGAGAATGAGCTATAGTGACAATTAGGAGGTGAATGGGGTCAATGGCTTCCATGAGTAAAAAATGACAAAGTTATTGGCACATAGAACTATTAACTAAGGATTGGTCACTATGAAGAGTGATGGTCACCATATGAAGACGTTGTTCTAGTCAAACTTGATAGTTTGAGAAAACCTTTTCAACTTGAAAAATCCAATCAAAAGGATCAAAACTATTAAAAGGTGATAATTGAAGTTTAGAAGTGCACATGTGGGGAAGTGCACATGTGGGGGAGTAAAAGAAGGAAGGGAGGTGATGGGACAAAAGTCTCATGAAACAATGGAGTAGTGAAGTGATGGGGTGGTTAAATGCATTAAACCATCGGGTCTCACTTGAAAACCAGGAGAGGTGGGTTGAGCCTGTTATAAAATGTTATGTTGGAATTGAGAACCCTACGTGTCGTTAGAGTTAAGCGAGGTGAATTTTTCTAAAAGAGTGATATGTTTATCGTTGATGGCAATAAAGTGGAATCCCATGGTGGATTGGAGTTACTCATTGTGATTGTCTTGTTGGAGTTGTAAAGAAAATAACCGATTGACCATGGCTGGTAGATTCTCCTCCAAATCCTTTGTGTTTGGGAGGCATGATGAAAGCATCAATGATAGGATGAACATTATCTTCAATGTTGGCTAAAATACTGTGTAAAAAGATAATTATGAAATACCACTAGAAAAATAACTTTGTTTCAAGTTAAAGGGAAACCTCAATTCATATTTAAAAACAACATAGGTATCTTAGTGTCATTATCCAATGGTAGGAAAAAGGACAAAAGTAACATAAGTGGACTCATTACAAATTAAATAAAACTATCAAGCCAATTGGACATTTTTGTAATGTGTTTGAGCTTACTTCATTCTCTAAAATCATTATTGATCTGAGTGAGCTTGTTAGTCCTCTTGCCACTAGAGCATCACTAACCACTTTGCACCATTGTTAGAGACTTTTTGGTAATAACACCATTTTCCCTTATTTTTTCCACAAGCAAGAAGTTATTGCAACAAAGGCACAAAAGTGCAAATATGATGCGACACAATGGAGACACGCGAGTTCAAATGTGTTATAACATGATAAAAGCTTGAGTATAGATCTCCCACGATGCAGTAGAGGCACACAAGTTTGAATATGTTGCAACAAAGCACAAATCTACTATAATAGAGGCGTACAAGTGCGCGTTTAGATCTAGTGCATGGTTTGATTGACTAAGTTTTAGAACACAAAAAGAACAATTAATAGGAATCTCTACATTTAGTATTGAACATCGAGAAATGAAGTCTTCAATGAGACATTCTTTTTGCATGGGAAGAGAATTAGAGGAGTAAAGTCCAAGGTGAACAACAACATGGGTACATTATTGTTGACAACTCTTTAAATGGTGGTCGATAATGAGAATTGTTGAGAAAGGAAAAAAAAACTAAATAATATTCAAGTATTTTTTTTTTGAGTAAATAAAAAAATTAAATTAAGATAAGACATAATTCTTATAAGGTCAAAACTTATCATTAGTCTCTCTAAACATTATTAGTGAGATGATTGATCACTTATCTCATTGTAACATAAATTTATATAAAAAAATTATAAAATATAAAAGAGTATGTTACTTGTGTAAAGAGTGTGTGTTAATAATTTGAACCTTAGGTTATTAAAAAAAAAAAACTATTAATTGTGTAGTGTAGGATGGAACATGATGTAGATTCACCATACTATTCGTCTAACGTCTTTAATCATATAACGGCTATCTTTGATAAATGAAGCGTTATGGTGAAGGAAAATTTACTTGGGAACAAACAATTACTTACATCCGTTGTGCTTTTTTAACTTGCGTACGCGTCTACGACAACGGACAGCCAATGCTTATGCACGTGAGAAACATTATTGTGTTTGCCAGGAATGGATCATGGCCCATTCATGGATATGGCTGTGGGCCCAAAAGCCAGCTCAGTTGATTCACCTTTCTCCACAACCACACTTAAAATTTCGAAATTTGAAAATATTAAGCCAAAACAAAAAGAGAAAAGCTTTTTTTTTTTTAAATATTTTTTTTTGAAAAAAAAAATGGCTCCTTTATAAATATCCCATTTTTTTTAGAGCTGTTACATAGTGTGTGCCTCGCTTCTATCGTCACCGACTCGGTTGCTATCAGCGAGTGAGGGGTTTCTGCAGCAACAAGGTAAGGAGACTTCAGATCTCACTTCTTTCTTGTTTTCCATTTCGATCCGAACCATGTGCTACATAATTTGTTTTCTGCTTCTGGGTTTTAATCATCTATGTTTCATGTGCTGTTGTCTATTGTTTGATGGTAGTTTTTCTAGTTAATTCATGATTTTTTTTTTGTTATGCACTTTAATTTCGGGCACATTTTTTTCCTTTTCATTTTCGTTAAAAAAAATTAGTGGGGTTTGGCTATTTTTACCCCTGGGATTAGATTTGTCAGTTTTTAATTAGTTTTGAATTGATGGGTAAGACTTGGATTGTTGAATCCTGTTGTGACATGTTTTTGTTTGTGTTTTTCATGCTTGAATCGCTTAAAAGGGGTCTTTTTAGCTTAGATTTGTTGATGGGTCTCTTGTTCTGAGAGTTAGCATCTGATTTCACTGGTTTCTCTATGCCTTTACCTGTTTTGAGTCCATGCACTTTGAGCATAGCTAGATCAGAAGGGCATGGCCCTGGAATGGTTTTGGTTTTGCTTGATCTGTGCAGAAATAAGTGTGTAAAGATGGAACTTGAAGGGATGCAATGGGATGAAATTTTGATTGCTTTGTAGGATAGAAAAACGGGTCTGAGTGCCCTTTTCATCTGGTCCTCTTTAGTACTTTATCCCCTTGAAGATGATATTTGCAGATGAAGGAAAAGGAAATTTATGTTTGGGTCAAAATAAAATGACAATGTGGTTTCAAAGAGTCCTGCAAATGTACACAAAATTTTCATGCATAAAAGATAAAATTATGAACATAGTAATATTTATTCATCTTGATTCGTCCTTCTGAGCAAGGGACATGCAAACCATTTCAATCATTTTGCCAATCCTCAAACTTTTCTTTTCCCTATTCATTTTTGAAACTGTACATTCCATTTTACATTCTGTTAAGCGTATCTCTTTGTATGCTCATAAGCTTTTATGGTTCAAGAGTCCTATGGTTGTATGAAGAAAGATGGATGCTGTATATCATTGAAGGTTTATTATATATTTTCTTTATTAATGTAGAATAATTACCTGTGTGCATTAAAAACTAATCAACTTATTTGCTACGGGCTGCATAGTCAATACTCCAATGGTTTGAATATGATGTCCACTGTTGATAGCTGTTTTTTTGTTGAAATCTGATGGTTCTTGGTTCTGTTTGCTTTGCTGGATTTGAGGCTATTATTTTGTTATTCCATGAATGTTGGCGTAAGATTTTTCGTGATAAAAAATGTGATGCTGCTATATAGGTTTAGCCACTCCAAACAAGAGAAATGGGTCGTGGGGTCAGTGCTGGCGGTGGTCAGAGTTCCTTGGGTTATCTCTTTGGCAGTGGAGAGGCTCCTAGTGCCAGCAATGTCCAAAGTGCGAACAATCAAGGTCAGCCTGCAACTGGTGCACGCACTCAAAATGCCAGTGCTCCTTCTCCACCACCAGTTGAGAAGCAAAGTCCAGCACCAATTGATAAGCAAATTCCAGCTGGAATTCCTGGGAGTCTCAAAAACAATTACCACCGTGCTGATGGCCAAAATTGTGGCAACTTTCTCACTGTACTGCTCCTGTCAACTTATTTATTATGATTATTTTAATTTTTCATTGCATTATGTAATTAGATCTTCTTGCTATTTCTTCAGTTCTGCTCTAAATATTCTTGTCTGTTTCCACATACCTTAGCCAAGGAAATTACTAGCAAGCTTCATAGTGAAGTGGATGAGGATTAGAGCCTCCTCCTCCTGCTTATCATTTCCTTATAATATTCAATAAAAAGTAATGAAGTTGCAAGGTTGGTGTTCACAAATTAAAAACAAACTTTAAAAGTAAAATAGGATTTTGAATTACAATAGTGCCACATTATGGGAGATCCTATTAGCATAGCATTCTAGTGAAAAATATTCAAAACTTTATAAAAGAAGAGTAATTATGATCTCTTGGCTCAGCTACTTAAGCATGGCTCCTTGCCTTTTTTGGTAGGAAGGAATTCCATCTCCTGTTCTTGCATATTCATAAGATTTAATATGCACGTTATGCATGCTTTCTTAATTTTCTTGTTTATCTTGTATGGATTATGAGTACTGTATGCTCTTGAAAATCAATTTATCTTATCTTAATTATTGGATTATTGGTTTTGATTGACAGATTAGCATCTCTTTCTCTCCCTCTCTAGTCCTGTTTAGCCTTTTATGTACTTTGTCCTCCCTTTTCTGTCTGCAAGTGCATGAGCTTAAATTGTGATCTCTCATTGCGCTTGATGTCACATACTGATGGAAACCATCTACTGCTGTATTTTGTAGCTTGTCATGTAGCAATTTCATATTTTATGATTTCATGCCTCATGCTTTGTTGATAATGGAAGCCTTTGTGTCTCATGTTGACCTTTAATTGAAATACAGTTCATTATTTGTGTGTTAAGTGTGAGGCTGAGTCTGGATGCAATGACAAGGCTGCTTCCTCGTGTTCTTTGTGCATAATGTCGTCTTTTATTAGTGATAAGTGAAGTCATCAGATGTTTTTGATGATACAACATAAGATTATATATATTTTTAGTCCTTGAACATTCGTCAATTTTTGTTTAGTCCTTGAACATTTGTTTTTACTAATTTTAATTTTTGAACTTTTGCTAATTTTGGCTTTTTAGTCCTTCAATTTTTCCTCCCATTAACATTTTGATTGATCCCTTATGTAAAAAGCTTTTGTTCGCAGAAAAAATTTTCAGGGACTGAATCCAAATAAAATTTGTTCAAGGCTAAAATAAAAAATTAACAAAAGTTCATGGAAAAGGATCTTGGGAGATAGTGTTTTACAATAGATAGTGTTAGGAATGAAGATTGAACTTGTTAAGTTCATTGTTCTTGGTAATATAAGCTTTTGTTATATATATTGAGGAATTGTTATTAATCATGGTTTTCTTTTGGGTGCAGGATCGGCCATCTACCAAGGTTCATGCTGCCCCAGGTGGTGGATCTTCCTTGGGTTACCTCTTTGGTGGTCCACCAGGGAACTAATTCATCAATGTGATTCAAATCTACCATGTGATGTATCATGTGTAAAATAGATAGTGTTGCCTTGTGTTTTAGACCAGTGCACTTGCTTGTTGTGCAATTGAACCTCTTGACAGTGCTGGTGTGGCTTGATGGCCCAAACTAAGCTGATTCATAGGTCTGTTATTCTGTTCTTTGTGTGGGTTTCGGTTAATGAAATTTACTGTTGGTATGAGCTAAAGTGGCTCATAATTATTCTCCTATCTTTGTTATTGTGTTCATTTCATGATGCTCGAGTTTTTTGATAATGACTCTGGGGATCATATATATCATTGCATGTGATCATGGAATTGTTAAGTAAAGCAGCAATGAGGAAAAGTTCGTTTTCTTTAATCCTAGCATGTATGAGTGTTTGTTTTACTTTATCTCATTTTTCAATGCACTTTCTATTCATGTTTCTATGGTCATTAGAGTTAAACTGAATTGAACGGGATTTCAAACGCACCCTGAATCGAAGCAAAGACCATAACATGAACTTGGCACTTGGTGGTTAAGTTAGTATGTTGGTTCTGATTCCTTGTTTTAAATCGTGTACAATCTTTTTAGATTTTGTTCTAATCTTGATTGAAATCTTAATCCGTTGTTTTAAAGTTGATTGCAGAAGGCACCTGTTTTTAATATAATATATTATTAATGTTTCTAATTTGCCTTCCCTTGCATGTTTGTTGTAGTTGTTTCTTGAGGTAATGTTTGACATGTGTTGGAATAATACAGAATATGTGATTTCCGTATTATGCATATAATAGATAGAATAATCAAAATGAGTTTTAAAATTATGTGTTTTGGTTTTATTAAAACTAGTAAGTGTTTACAGGCGAATGTTTTGTTTTGTTTACGCTAAGAATTTTCCAAGAAGAAAAATAGATCACATTTTGAAAGTGTATCTGTTTTCATCGGTAGGATTGGTATTATTGACAATAAGTTCAAATTTAGGTTCAAAGTTAGAACCGCATATTTAATTTCCTCTCGTTTAACAAAAGTATTTTTATCATATTTTTCTTTTTCTTGTGAAGTTTTGCAAGTATTTTTATTTATTTATTGAAATTACAACATCACGATTTAAATTTAAAGTTATGTGCATGCAACTTTATTCTCGATCTTAGGAGATTTTTCACTTTAAAATATTTGATTTTTTTTAAAATTACTTCATTTAAATTGATTATCTAAACACAAGTGTTTTAAATTAACACTGAAGGTATTTTAATTTTGTAATCAAGTTCTTTCTGTAATAGTTTCAAAATTTTATTTAGAATTTTTTTTTGTTTTGAGATATTTAAATCGCTTATTTTTTACTGAAGTTGTTATTTTGAGCATTATTTTAGTTTATATTATTATTATTATATGGATCACTTGTTGACTTTTTTTTTTCTTTCGTTTCCTTTCAAATTTAAACATTGAATTTAGTAATTTAGAAGATGAAATAACAGAAGTTTCAAAGAAGATAATAAATGCTTAAAATTTAGTTTCATCTTATAAAGTTACAAACTTAAAATAAAGTGTTCAAATTAGTTGCCTCTGTACATGCAGACTTGCTGAATGAGCTTAACACATTGATGTACCTCAAACATATTACAGTATTATTAAAGAATTTTGATACAAACATTAATTAACAGATGATATATGCTGAGGTTCACGAGGCATAGCTCTTATAAATCAAGATAGTAAAATTGGATTTTTTAATTGATTTAAAACTTTTTAAACACAATCAATACCTATCCAAACCCTTTTTACATGTAGGTATTTACCCAAATATCACAATAATTCATTATTTAGAAAACTTGTAATGATTGGTCATCAACTAGTTCATATACTCTTCTAAATATTCATACAAATACTTCAGTGATATGAAAAATTTAAAAACCTTGTTTTGAGTTCTTAAAAATTTAATAAGTTTAATTTATATATATATATATATATATATATATATATATAATTAGAGGAGGGCATGTAACCAAAAAAATTAGATGTTTTTTTTTTTATAAATTTGTTTCCCCTTCCTCCTTACCTCTCTCCACTTTCTCTTCATTTTCTCTCTTTCCTCTTTTTCCCTACTCCTATTTCTTCCTACTCCATATCCTTGCTTCTTATTTTTTCAGAAGTAGTCTATTTAAAATTAAAAGAAATAAAGAAATTCAATCAACTTTTACTTTATATAAAAAAATTTATTTTAAAATAGTTTTTAAGCTAACAAAAAAAAAATGAGCCAAAATGTCCTGGAGTTGATGTAACCAAATATCTTATACTCATGGTTCGAGACATTAGTTGATCCATGGCCTTTTGAAAGGACTTTTGAGATGCCACAAAGGCACAAACCATTTTTAAATAGGCAAGATCAACCTTGTCTAATTTTTTTTCTTGTCAATATGGTAAAATGGACCACTAAAAAACATTTGCATTGCCTTTTTCAGTGCTTTAAGGTCATTCCAATGGTGTAACCTTATTGTAATTGTTTAACTCAGTTTGGTGTCCCTACAATGTTACATGGGTTTTAAAAATTCTAACAAGTTTTCTTTTCAATCATGCAACTTTTAAGAAGTTGAAATAGATTTCTCAATTGACTTCACATCTTTATACCTTTTCATTTACATTTATTTATATTTCAATTTACAATAAAAAAAAAAACTCTTCTTAATGAAAATGCATTAAAAAGTACTTCCTTTTTAAACTCATAAAAACAAAAATACATAAATTCACACATATTAAGGAAATTAGTTAAGTTCAATTAATTATATTGATTTCATGTGAAAACTAAACTTTACTTTCTAAACTACCCTTAATAATATTCATTAAAAATAGTAATCACATTTAATTTAAGGCTATTTTTTTAATGATAGCATTAGAAATGGTCAAATTAGTTAGAATTTGCTTATATCAAATAAAAAAAAAATTAAGTAATTTTTTGCTTATATATATATATATATATGAGTAAAAAGAGAGTATAGTACTTTTAAGAGTCTGTTCTTTTTAACTGGAATGTTGCATTGAAATGTTTGTTCTTTTGATATCCGTAATAATAGAACGTTCATAGGAACTCCGAAATGTTGCTGATTTGAGAAACGGTGCTCCATGAGGACAGACTTCACTGAAGCACCTAGTAGCTATTAGCTAAGGCAAATGGCAACACCAAATAGGGCATATTAGTACTCCAAATAAGTCAAGTAAATATTAATTATTGGTTTCTGTAAATGAAGAATAGTAATAACAACTACTTTAATGAAAGTGAAATGGTGAGTAGAGCGAGCATGTTGTAGAGGTTGTGTTATCGAAATGTACCCAAGTTCAAACGACTAATGGGTTCTGAATAAAGGTTGTAATTTGCAAATTGCAAAGCCATGAAGACAAGACAACCTTCTCCAGATTGCAAGAGAATAATCGAGCTGTTTTTTATTTTGAAGATTATTTTTTTAATAAATTATGGTGACAGTTTGAGGTTTTGCAAAATTATACATGAATCCATTTTTTTTTATCCCTACACTAAACCCCTTCAATTGTTTCAAAAACATGACATTGCCACTCCTTAACCATTACATTTGCCCTCCTTAATTGTTCGAAAAACAGTGCATTGAGTCTCCTATGAGGGAGGTTGCTCTAAACATTAAAAAAAAAAGTTGTGTAGAATTTCATGAAAAGTACTAGTGTGATTTACTCTTTTTCTGCCAAGAACTTGAGCCTTTTTTTAGCTGACTAGCTGTTCATACATAGAAATCAAATTCTGATCCTTAGCCATTGCCTTTTAATTCAGAAGGACTACACTTTCATACTTCATATATTTGTAAAGTAGCATGCCTAAAGCACACCTACACCTTGATTTAGAAGAAATTTAGCAGTGTACTTGTCTTCCACGAAGTAGCAAAATATTCAACTTACAGCCATTGTTTTTGTGAACACATCCCACTCCTCCAAATCAAGATAGAATAGGAAAAGGTGGGTGGGCTAGTTGGGGAGGCAAAAGGACGTGTTATGGTCCAAACAATGACAATTTACAGTGCCTTAAGTCAAATGAAAAACAAAGTCAAGTACCCATGTAACTTACCACCCATAATAAATATTCAGTAAAAGAAGCATGTAAATATAACAGCTAAACAGAAATCTCATAAAGTGCTGATTTCTTTCATGGTTTAAATTATTTTTTCCTCTCTCATTCATACTGTTGGTTTTGGGTATATCAAACAATGTGGCTTAGTCTGAATTAACTATTTTGTGGAGAAAAAAAAAATAAAAACAGTAGTGCTTTTGGCATCAAGAAAGTATGCTTGGAAAGGTTATTTCAGTTTTCAGGAAGCAAAAAAAAAAACAATTTTGCAGGGGCTTTCTAAAAGTGCTTCTTTATTGTGAAGAAATTACTATTTTTGTATGAAAATAAGGTTTTCATACCTAAAATAAGCACAATGCTCTTGACTGTAGAGTGTCTATCTCCTAACAAAAGACTGTTGTTTGGCATAGCTGAGTAATTGTCAAAATTTGGGTAAAGAATAGGTAACTCAGAACATGGCTAATTCAATTATCTCCTGGTACAAACATGATTGAGCTTTCACCCCATCAATCCTCAAATCCCTATTAACATAAGTGATTTTCCACTAAGCCATCAGCATTGCTAAGAACTTGATCCAAATTTTCTCATTAGTTCTATATTTTCAGCAATTGTTGACCCAGGAGTTCCAACAAAACCAAGAGATGCACGGCTGCATACAGCCTGCTCAACATAAAGAAGTAGATCTGGTAATCTCTGATTGGAACAATATTTTTTACCAATTGTATTTGAATTTGAAATGAACCGCTGTCCATGACCTGCTGCCATGAGTTTTACGGCTGCTTGCTTAACCATCTCATCATACTCTTTTAAAAAATATACCTTATAGTTATGCTTGTCACGTGTTAAATCGCCTAAATAAGTATCAGTCCAATTATCTTCAGGAAGATCAGTCATTATGAAAATATGTATGGGTAGCGGGCCTTCTCTCTTCAAAGATTCTATTTTTTGCTTTAATCCATGAAATGTAGCCTTTTGATGATTCTTAAACTGCCCATCCAACAGTCTAAGTTGTGCACAAAGAAATGGAGCCTTTATGGTTTCTTTAGCAAACTCCTTTCCTGCAATCATAATCTCTGGTACAAATGGAAGAAGTTTAGTCTTCTCCATCAAAGATAGAAACCTCTGGTCCTGATGAGATTCATGAATATCAATATATAGTTCAGAACCTTTGTATGGTGCAGAGAAAAGGCTTCCAAATGCCAGCAGTGACGCTGGTTCAACCTCAGAACCAGGTCCAAGAGTCTTAAAGACATCTTTCCGTCTCCTAACATATGATATTTTCTTTTTCTGCTTCAGCTGTTCATCGGGTTGGAATGAATCTAACATGCCATCTTCATGGCCATCGTCATGGTAGGTCCATACTGTAGTTCTGCAATCTTTATTGATAGCATATGTACACTTATCAATACTACCATGGAGCCCAGCTAGCAGAGATCCACATTCCTTTAGGCTTTTAGAAACAGAGGACTGCAACTTTGCATCTGATATGCAAGCCAAATCTAAGCTGATGCCACACCATATTGACACAAAATCCCTAAGGTCAATCACTCGAACAAGAGAGGAAGAAACTAAGGATGAGATATCTATAATTTCAGCAATGGAGATATACCTGTGAGAAAAATAAACAAATGAATTAATACAGTTAACCAAGTGAAATGCAGTTTCAAATTTAAATTTCAATGATCCAGAAACCGCGGAAAAAAAAGAAAGGTAGTCATACCCTTAATTTTACTTCAAAGTACAGCTGCCATTATTATGATATAAAAGGAAAATTTATCAATTATATATGAATAAAGAAACAACAGTTAGAATACAATAAATATATTGAAAGATTTTTGCAATGTGGAAATCATGGAATGGAATTGAAAAGAGCAAGTAAGGTGATCAGTATCTGATTGTCATGAAAAATAGCCAAGAACTTTGCTCCAGTAAGCTAAATGAATTATTACGGTTACTAATCATTTATTAAGACTGGAGAGAAAATAACAAACTTATTTTCTCGTTTCTTTTTCATTTAAAAGGAAACTTAAACAAAATCAATTTTTTATAGACCTAGAAATCTAGTCAATCTCATCTTGCTCATACATGTATACAACCAAATCATTCCAGCCTTCTTCACCAGCCATTTCAACACAAAAAGTCAAAATTGACAATGAGTGACAAAACTAGCTAACCTTCCACTCCGAACAAGCTTGATCATGTGATCCCAAACGGAGATCCGAATGTCCTTTGGATCCACAACCCGAAACTTCGGACAGCTGCCTAGGGCAACAGCATGGTGATCCAGAATAGGAGGAACAACCAAAGTTCGATTCAGTATCCCCGCCATTAGAACTGCATTCTTGAACTCCGAAAGCTGGTTGCTGAACCCACTGTGAGGTGCATACCACATGAATTTCTCCCCTAAGGCAAGGGCTTGAGTGGAGCATTGAGGGATATGTGATGATGTTGAAGTCTTGGACAATCCAAGGAACTGGGAATCAGGTTTCACATAGTAATGATACAAAAACAAGAATGAGAGGAGGATGACAAGGACAGACACAGGAATGAATGGGAATCTGTAAAGGGGTTTTCTTTTAGAAAACATTCTGGTTGGTGTTGTGTTGGGATTCAAAGTGTTCACGGCTGTGCACTTGTGATGCACATTGATAAATTCTCCACATTCAAGTAATTTGGAGGGAACAATTGAGCATAATCATAGTCTGAATCTTTCCCACTCCTGAAACAAATCCCAAATATATATTTAAAAAAAAAAAAAAACAAAAAGAGCCGGTAAGCAACAATACCTAAGACAAGATCAAATTTTGAAACATAAACTGATTTTCTCACTAATAACTAAACTACCCAGAATTCTATTTAATGTCTAATTTTGTTTTCCTAAGTGAAATAATATGTTGTTTTTAGAGAAACTAGAACAAAAGTAACGAGGTTTTTAGAGACAGGGAAACTCACCTGCAAAAAATTGGGTTTCCGAGAAAGGAATGGTTTGGGGAGATTGTGTGAAGGGTGACAATGACTCAAAACTCAAATTGAGATATGGGTTAAAGGTGGTGAGATCGGATTCAGAAGAACGAGGAACGGAACAGAGCCACTTTCCTTAGACCCTCTTCTCTATTAAGCCCTTTGTTATGTGCACCCCAAATTCCTCATCAAATTACTTTTCTATTCATAATAATTACTCTTGACTATTTACTTTAAGTTTATTGAATTTTAGAATAATTATTTTTTTAGGGGTGGAATAATTATTTCAAAAAATTATATTTACAATAGTTTCTCGTTATATGTTAAAAAAAGTTATATTTTTTAGCTTAAATAGTATTTTAGTCCCTTATAATAATTGTTTGTTTTAATTTAGTCTCACTTTTATTTTTAGTCTCAATTTGGTCTTTAATAAATTAATTGGTTGCAATGTCGGACTTCCGTTCAAATTATTTGGACGAAGTTAACTGTTGGTCACGTGGATGTCACGTGGAAGCTACGTAGATGCCACGTGGAAGCTACGTACATGCCACATGGACGTCAAATTTTGTCATGCATCTAGAACCAGAATGGCCCGTTCTGAAACCTGAATGGTCTGTTCCAGTTGCACTCATGGTGTGTAAATTTTGCATCTGGAACGACCCGTTCCAGAAGCATTATTTAATACCAACATGTGCAGTAGAACGGGCCGTTCTGAGACCAGAACGGGCCGTTCTGGCATCTAAAACGGACTGTTCTGGATTCAGAACGGGCCGTTCCAGAACGTCAACCAACATAGTGCACTAGTGTGGTTCAAAAATCGAAAGGAAATTATTTACACATACACAATTTTTTTATCTAAAAAATAATATATTTTAAAAAATAAAATTATATTCTAATATATATATATATGTATATATATATATATTTAAATTATCGTATGTATAAAATATAAATTTTGAGGAATTATTCATTTATGTGATATTTGTCAAATTTTTGTACTTTCTATTTATTATTTATGTTGATAAAAAAAAATTAAAATTGTAAAAAGGCTTAAATATGTTTTTAGTCCCTCAAATTTAAGATAAATTTATTTTTGGTCCCTCAAATTTAAAACTATTATTTTTAATCCCTGTAGTTTTTAAAAATCTTGTTTTAGTCCCTTAGGTCACCAATAACATATTTGAAAGTGACTCATTAAGATAGTTATGCAATATCAACCAGATTTAATGTGATATTTTCACTAATAGGGACACCAATAGGTAGATTTTATGCAATAATGTTTGATAAATTTCTTAACAAAATTTGAATATAAGGACTAAATTAAGATTTTTTGAAATTACAAGGACTAAAAACAACAATTTTAAATTTGAGGGATCAAAAATAGATTTATCCTAAATTTGAGGGACTAAAAACATATTTAAGCCTTGTAAAAATTTATATCACATATTAAAAACATCTTTATATGATAAATAAATTAAACTTAATTTTTATAAGATTTAACATATTTATTTATATGTTTTTATTAGTGTTAAATTATTATTAAGTAAGTTTTTAAGATTGTTATGTAACCAAATATTTTAAAAAATGTCTATGACAGATAAATATATAATATTTATAACATGTATTTTTAACAAAAATTAGGTTTAAATCTGTTAAATTATAATATAACATAATCTGACCTAGTTTATTTTCATCCTTAATCATAATTGTAGATATAAAAACTTGTAAAAAATAACTATAATATATATTTATGCTTAAAAAATTATATATAAAATTTTTAATATTACAAATATATGAATAAGTATTATCATCACAATTTAAAATTTATGGATATAATCATCAACTGGACGTGTGACATTCTGGAACCAGAACGGCCCGTTCTGAAACTGGAACGACCCGTTCTGGTTTCACTCCTGGTGTGTTAATTTTGCATCCAAAACGGACCGTTCTGGATGCAAAATTAACGCACGAAGAGTGAAACTAGAACGGGCCGTTCCAGTTTCAGAACAGGCCGTTCTGGTTCTAGATGCATGACAAAAATTTGACATCCATGTGGCATCTACGTAGCATCCACGTGGCCAATAGTTAACTCCGTCTAAATAATTTGGACGAAAGTCCGACACTGCAACCAATTAATTTATTAGGAACCAAATTGAGACAAAAAATAAAAGTGGGACTACATTGAAACAAACAATTATTATAAAGGACTAAAATAGGTTTTTAGCATATATTTTTTAAGTAACACAAAAAATTACATCAGAAATAGATAAAAATTAAACTCTTTTTAACATAAAAAAAATTAAGTTATAATTTTTTTTTGTAAAAATAAGAAAGATTATAAAGATGGTCATGAGGATTGAATCTGGGTCTTCATGCTTTTAACTACCCCAAATCTTCCCCACCGAACCACTAGACTAACCCTAGTGGTTAAATTAAGTTATAACTTAAAATAGAAGTTTTAAATTGAATAATTTGACATTTTGTTTTTGATATAATTTAAAATTTTCTATATTAAATAATTATAATTTTATTTATGTATTTAATGATCGTAACTATCGATGTCAATAATTTATTATTGGTTATTTTTTTTAAAAGAGAGCATTTTAGTTTTAATTAAATTATATAGAAATATGTTGATTTATAAAACTTTAAGAATATTTTTATTCTTTAAAAAATATATTGTTTTTAAGAATAATATTACCTATTATTCTTTTTTAACGCAAAAGTGAAAAAGGTTGGAGTTTTGGTTGCTCACACTCACACTCACACTCACACCCTCTGCTTCTTCTACCGTGCCGCGCGAGCCAGCCAAGGTTTGGAGCATCTTAGTTGCAGAAACCATGACGACTGTGGTGCCAACCTCCGAAGAAGACGCCGCGCTCTCCGTCGTTCGATTCACCTCTGAACTCGCCTGGGCCGATGCCGGTCCTGAGGTATTTTCCTGCCTCTTCCCCCAAACCCTTCTTCGCCTTTTCCCTTCGTTTCAATTGTGAACGCTTCGGTTCTTTTACCTTTTTCCGCTATGAGTTTTTTGCTTCTGATTGCGGAGAACGGTTCATCCACAATGCGTTGTGTATCTGCTAAGCTGAAACGCTTGTGTAACGTTAAAATTGAATCTGAGTGTGTGAAACTTGGTGACTTTAGTTTGTTTATTCAATGTTTGGTGTGCTGTGAGAACTAGTTTTGTATTATCATTTTATGTTCTAGAAGTTTCCGGGATCCACGTCTATGTTCAGACGATGAAAGGGAGGGAATGATAAGGAAGGACTAGCTGTGAAATGATTTTATAGTAGGAGGTATTGATGTGACACCATTGAGGAAAAGATGACAGAAAGTCTGTTAAGGTAGTTTGGATACGTGCAAAAGAAAGTCACTTGGAAGCCACATTTGGGGGAGTAGATTGCATGTTTACTCCTTTGAAAAAGGGGTGAGGGAGACCAAAAAGGGCATTGGAGGAAGATGTTAAGAGTGAGCTTATGCTAAATAATATCTCTAAAGATTTGGTTGGTCTTTAACTGAGTTAAATGGGGTCGTGTGATCCATGTAGTCAACCTCAACTAATGAGATGAGACTTTTGTTCTTATTTTTCTTTTCTATTTTTGTGTATTTTTAAGGGTTTACAGGTGCTACATTGTTTTCTTCTATTTATGCTCTGTACACTCATGCTTCTTGTTATATGTGAGCATGATGCTGCATTCTTGTTTTAATTCGGTGCTAGTATTATTCGTGAATTTAGTGCTTCCCATATTGGCTTGTCAGGTTGCTGAGCCACAGGTTAGTAGGCTGTGCATGGAGGCTGAAGAGTTCATTGTTATGGGAAAGTGGTTGGAGCTAGCATCATTGATGATTACTTCTGCTGAATTGATTTTCTCAAAGGTTTCTGAAAAAGGTAGAGTGCTCCTTTTTGCTTGATATTGATATATACTGTTTCTTGTGTTGTATTCCTCTTGCATTTTGGCCTACTTCCAATTTCATTGATGAAAACATGAATCCCATGTGGCATGTATGTGTTGTGCAATCACCTAAGCTGGATCCTTTTCCAAATCTGTTACTTTGATTGGTCATGGTATTGTTGATATGTTATGTTTCATGATCATGTTTCATTTCTCATTTTCTTGTTTAGAATCCAATTTGTTGGTGCATAGAGAAATGCTAAGGGTGATAGGATGTGCCATTAATGTTACAAGCTGAATGTGTTTTAACAAACTCTGTTATTTCTTATACCAGATATAGAGTCCATCTTCACTATCATCTGCAATCTTGTTACAAAGATCGAAAATCCTGATGAAGTGATGGAGATTGTAAAAGTTATAACTTCAAAATTAGTTCAGCAGCCAAATGAAAAGCCTGCCACACGATTGAAGATGTAATATCACATTCTACTTGGTTAAAAAATCTTTGTAATGCATGCTATTGTTACCATTTATATTATTATTATTTAAATACCTTATTTTCTTTACAGTTTGATCAATCTGTACAATCTTTTGGAGACACCATATTGCCAGTTTTATGTCTACATGAAGGTATTGAATTTAGCTGTTGATGGGAAAGTCACTGAATACATTATACCTTCATTCAAAAAGATAGATAGCTTCTTGAAAGACTGGAAAATTGGGATACCTGAACAGAGAGAGCTCTTTCTCACTATCTCTAATATTTTGAAGGAAAATAAAAGGTATAGCAGAAGTGAATTCCTTTTAACGTCAATTTTATGTATGTTTTCTTTATCTCTCTTGGAAGTGGGAGTAATACTTAAGTTTCTTACCATCAGTTCTTCCCTTCCTTGAGATGGCTATCTTCTATCCATCTTTAAATCTCCATTTTTTAATACAAATACTTTGTATTTCATCTCATTTTATCTCAGCATGTCAAAGGATGCTTTTAAGTTCCTGACCAATTATCTGGCAACTTTTTCGGGAGAAGATTCACACGCTTTGAATGAAGCCAAGGAGGAGGCTGCGCGTGCAATTGTGGAATTTGTGAGGGCACCTGACATATTTGAGGTACCTCTTTTGTTTCTATTTGAAAGATTGTATGATCTTACTGTTTCAGCTTCCTACATTGTTCAATTATTTTTAGGAGTTACCATTGCCAATAGTAATATCCTCACTTGTTTTTTCAATTGCTTCCTTTGCTTTGAGGGTGCTTAACTTTCTGGTTTTTTTGTGTGGTGTGTGTCTATAATTAGATATAGAAGTATGAAACATTCATGGTAATTTATTGCTTAGTACTAAAACCAATAAGGTGACAAGGATGCTTTATCGTAGGCCTTTTTTATTCTATTATTTACTCATCATTATTAAATATACTTTTAGATATCTATCTCTGCTATTTTTAATACTATTTTTGGCCTAGATTTCTGTAAGTTCTGGTAGAGCATTCACTAAGTTGATTGTCATGTTGTAGTGTGATTTACTAGACTTGCCTGCTGTTGGGCAACTGGAGAAGGATGCCAAATATGCTTTGTTATATCAGCTTCTTAAGATATTTCTTACCCAGCGGCTGGACGCTTACTTAGACCATCAGGCTGCGAATTCTACCTTGTTGAAAAGCTATGGTAAACATTGTTCATAAATGATTATCATTTATCTGTAGTTTCATATGCAGGGTTCTCTTCTACTTTGTCACTATCAAAATGTTTTAATGTTATGACGTGTTTAGGCCTTGTGCATGAAGAATGCATTGCCAAAATGAGGCTGATGTCATTGGTGGATCTTAGCTCTGATGGATCTGGCCAAATTCCATATGAACTTATCAGGGACACACTTCAGGTAAATTTTCATTTGATTTCTAAGTCTGTATTTGTGTTCTTCCTAGCATAATTGAAATGTTTCATCATCCCCTTTCAGATCAATGATGATGAAGTGGAATTATGGGTGGTTAGAGCAATAACTTCCAAGTTAATTGACTGTAAGATGGACCAAATGAATCAAGTAGTAGTTGTTAGGTATGTTCTACCTCAATTTCTTGTCTCTCTCTGCACCCTACTAGCTTACGTTGGACATTTATTTTTGTTCAGCATCATAGATCCCCCCAAGTTGAAAATTCATTTAGTTGTTCTACATGATTAATGCAAGTGTTAAATGTGCAGTCATCCTACTGAGCGTGTGTTTGGTCAGCACCAATGGCAAGCATTGAGAACAAAGCTAGTGACCTGGAGGGTAAAGAATTTCTTGCTGTAATTTTCAGAATTATAATTAGATATGTTATAATGCATACAAATGATGTCTATGCCATTCCTATGTTTATACGGCCATTCACATAATATTAGTATGATAATTGAATCCATACATTTAAATTGAAAGGAAAAGAACCAGGAAGTTAATTTCTGCTAATCAAATTTCAATTAATAATTACCTTGAATTTATGACCTGTAATATCATGACCAATATCTGAATTTGAGATTTCAAAAGCCTGCCAATTTGAATTATGCTGCATATTGAAAAGTTTATGATTGTTTTATAAATAAAAATTATCCCTAAAGGTGTTTTCTATACCACAAGTAAACATCTGTTGGATGATGCACTATTGGTGGTGCATACAATTTTACCTATTATTTCATAAGTGATTTTTTTTTCTCTGGAGAATGTTTGCTTCTGCTTATCTAACTTTTTACAAAAGATCGTTATTATGTGGTTTGTTCTAGATGATGGTTATGTGCTTAATAACATTTTGATTGTTGAGTAATTAGATGCAATGTCATTGCTTCAATACGAGTAACAGGTTTTTGATTGGCTATCATGTTTGATTACTTGTTTCCTATTTCCAGGGAAATATTACAAATGTTATCAGTACCATTCAGGCCAACAAAACGGAGGATGGTTCTCAGGCAGCCCAAAGTTTGGTAGTTCGATGAGGACGTTTTTAACTGAAGCAATTGTCTGAAGGTCTGAAGTATTTAGATTTTATCCAGGTGGAATTTTTTTAATCTTAAACAGGAAAATATTGTAATTTTTGTTACAAATTTTCCATTTATTTTAGGTTGTAGGTGACTCTAATTGTACTACCCAACTTTGACATAGAAGCCGTTTTGATTGAAGTTTTTTGCCTTTTCCATTTATATGTTTTGTTGACCAGTCCCACGTTTGCATTTGAGTATATTATACCTGTGGATTGTGGTTCTAAGAATCAATAAACAGCTATTTAAATTTTAGTGACTGAAGAAATCGTGCACTTAGTACTCGGTCATAGTGAGGCCAGGTAGACATGGAGCCTCCGCTTTGTATTCTCGTCAATTTAAGTTTAAAATACCATGCTGCTGAATCTGGAAAATCAGTGCACAACAATTTTTAATAATATAGCAGTAGCTCAGACTTATAACGGCTTCCCAATTTATGTATTAAAAAGAAATGTCAACAAAACTATAATACTTTTGCTAATACTCTCTCTACCATTGATTGGAAATTACAGATTTTGTTAGGTCCTATCAGTACATTAGGAGTTAGATATGGCTCTTCCTTTGATATGTACAAGTCTCCTTAGTTCCATTATGCGAGATATTTAATGTCTCCCATGCGACTTTTCAAGTCTTAGTTTTTATGTTACTTTTCAAGTCTTAGTTATATGTTACTATCTCCTATCAACCATATACCCAATTTGATCTAAATTCACCTCATATCTTGCCTAAAAAGAAAATCATATTTAAGGAAAAATATAGAGCGACCATCATAACATACAGTAAAAAGGAATGTACACTTATCAAACAAGAATGAGAGTCACTCTAATTAGTTTCATGACAATATTGTTGCAATGGGCCACTGTATTTTTTATGTGGTGGGGATTAATGTGAAATCATTGTTTATAATCATCAATGCGCGTGCTTGACCTACCACTCATAGTCGTTTTTTTATTATTGTTTTTTATTTTTTATTTTTTTTATGAACATGGTTTACATAATATCTTCAAAATGACAAATAGAAATTAATATATACTCATGAAGCGTGACTTCTGATGATCAAAATTATTTTAACTTTGAGGAGAATCAATCTTAATAATACTAGATCAACTTCCTATATCTCAGACATATCTTATAATTATTGGATTACTCAACTCTTTAATGACATTGTTAACAATATGATCATTGTAACCAAGTCATCTTAAATCATAATTTTTAATATTTGATACGATCGATAATCACACCTATAGTTATTGTCTTTAATAAAATTTTCATTCAATTATTATGCTAATATTCTTTAATTGTTTTCAGATAGAAGATTAATACGTTTAATCAATAGTTTTACAATATTAAAATTAGATTCCTAAAGTATTGTTAATATTATTGCTTAAATACCACTGAGAACATAAATCAATTGCTAGAGGGTGATTTTGATTAAACAAGTAATATTAAACTTTAATCCTAATACAGACGAGGCGCAATAATACAATATAAGCATGAACCGAAACCATTAACTATTACACAACTTCAAATTATGACAATCTCAATCTAATAAAAAAAAGAAAAAAAATGTTATTTAAATACAAACTAAAATGTGTAAGTTTGATGTTTTTACGATAGTATATTGTAAAAGAAACACATGAAGATAAAAAAGCTGAGATTCCATATGACAATCTTATAAAGATTAAACCATGGTCTTAGCAATCCCTGTTGTAATAACCACAACGGTTGTTAGGGCCACCTCCATTTTTTGATGGTAAACAGCTACGATAACTTGCGCCTGATGGACAATTAACAGCTATCTTGTTTCGATTGGCTATGTTTCCAATCCCAGATTGACTGACATCATAAAGTATATTATCCACATGGGAACCAAATGAGAACTCTGATTCCAAGTCATTGCCTATGAGGCAGTTCTCTGTGCCTATGAGGTAGTAGTGGATCAGAATGATCAGCAACACAAAGGAGAGACCCTTCTTCATTTTGTCTTGGAAATTGTTTTCTGAGGAAGAAAGGCTATGGTTCACTAGTTAAGCTTAGAAGATTCTTTGTTGCTGTGTGCTCAACTGTGAGAGAAGCATCAATCAGTTCAGCCTTAATAATAATATCTTGGGTTGAGGGATTGGATTGGTTTTGGAGATATTTAGATCCAACCCAATTAATGATAATGATTTGATTACTTTTCTTCAAAAACTAAAATAAAATTGACCACCCAAATTGAACCAAGCAAGTCAAGTTCAGCACAAGCACAGGTCATTGGTCAACTAATAAAATAATAAAAAAATAAAAAAATAAAAAGCAAGTAATCATCTGTGTTCATTTGATAAGATTTGAAGCCAGGTTTCTCCCGACATGTGCCCAGATCAACATGTCTACGGGTCTTCAAAAGTACTTTTATGAGAAAAGAATACCAAGAAAAAAATAAAATAATTTTTTTGATAAGTCAAAATTATTTTTTTTGCACAAATTAATTTATATAATTAAAATATATATATATATATATAAATTAGCTTTAATTTAATTAATGGATAAATTTTTTTCATAAGTATTTCTAGAAAAATTTACTATACCAACTTACAATAGGATAGTGCTCACTTAACCTATGTAAATCGGTGTAGACATTTCCTACTCTCATTCCAATCTATTTTTTTTAGGACCATTGCTGAACTCGTATCATGTATTCCTGGGACAATAATTCTTTGAAAAGGAGTAGGAAAGGTGAACTCAAGGATGGTCTCTTCCTCCACATTTCATATTTGTGTTTTTGAAACACAGTAATTCTGTCTGTAATCAAATTTCTCCTCATACTTGGCTTTCAAGACTTGGACATTTGCTATATATAAATGTTTTGATATAACTGAATAGTAAATATAATTTTGCTCGAATATTTTGTGCAATATTTCAAAAAATTAATATGTTTATTTTATTATAGTTTAGAAAAATTATTTTAAATTAATTTTGTTTTATTAAAAAAATATTTGAATTAATTTAGTCTTGTTGACTTAATCTTTTAGACAAGTCTTATCTTATCTTTTTAACATAATCTTTTAAAGTAGTTTATCTTCTTAACCTGATGATTTTGTCTTAAGTGATTTTGAGAAATTATACTCCTTATTATAAATATAACTTTCAAATAGTTTTGAGAGTGTCCTCCACACATTTCTTATTTATCTTTTTATCATTCTTGGATTATTCTCATTTTTTTCATTAAAAAAAAACTTACAAATTTTATTACTTTAATTATTATTAAGAAGAACTTGTTATATTTTAAGGAACTTGTGCATAATGCAGATAAATTCTTAAGAATAATGCTACCACACATATCAAGTTATTAATGTTTGTGATTATACAAATTTCATATTAAAAAATGGATTGTATTTCGTAACTGATTGTGAAAATGAATGATAATTCATGTCACTTAAATATGTTCCTTTAGCTAAACACCATTTATTATCTTTCATTCTTCAGAATCATTTTTCTACTAACAAAGATGATCAATAACTGCTTTGTTTGAGACTCAATTTGTTGTTTCCATTAAAGTCTTTGGATCTGATAATGCTAAAGAACTAGCAATAACATATTTCCTTGCAATTAATTAAGAGGGCTTTTCATCAGTTCTTAGTGTTGAATGACCACAGCCAAATTCAATCACCAACAGAATTCCCTCTCCCATTTATTAAATATATTAAGCAATACAATAAAAAATATTAAACGTACTTTTGTTTTAATTCTAGTTCTTACAATCTATATTAAAAATTGTTTGATATAAATTATATATTTTTCAATTTTAATATATACACCAAATCAAAATAATTGGAATTAAAAGGTTTGATTTATAATTTCATGACTCAAACGTATGCTCATTTGCTAAACTAATGACACTTAAAAAAATCCTTATAATATTGAAATTCAGTTTATACTTAAAAATACGAAGATTTTTTTTTTTTTTTTAATTTTCTTTTACACTTTTTGTATGAAACTTATATCTTGTGGGACAGTCAAAATACAGGGGATGAGATCATTTCAAATGCCGGTGCGAAATTCAATTGTTCTTCAACCATCAAAGGTTAGCACAGTTTCTTTTTTCATTTCTTCATTTTAATTATAATTTTTCAAGATCAATGATAAATTCTAAAAGGAGATATATAAAGTTTGATTTGAACTCAAAGTAGGATATGCAAAAAAATTATCAAATACGTAAGAAAAATTACAAAATTCCAGAAATTCCTGCAGATTGTTATTAGAAAATAGAGTGAATAAAGAGAGTGATTGAATTGATTTTCATTCCTTTTCATGTTAAAAGGTTTGTGAAATACATTTATTATATCAAATTCTAGAACAAAATAACAAATGAAATCGGTTATCTATCACTAATAACAAATAAGATTGACTAAAAGATAAATAATAAATAATAAGTTGAACTAAAAGATAAATAAGAAATAAATTGTTCTTCTATTTCATTAATTGTATTTATTTCTCATAAACTTTTTCATCAAACGTGGAATTATTCTGATCAGTATTTAATAATTTGAGAGTAAAGATTATAATCAATATATAGGAAAATAGTCCAAAATAGACTCAATGCATTCAAGCATTCAAGCATTCAAGCATTCATACTTGGACCGTCCCACGATGAAAGATTAGGCGATTTAGATCTTAGGTGTATTTTAAGTTGAATTTACTGAGTGATGTATGAAATGTCCCATTTTCACAATATGTTTTAATTGATGATTGCATGAATCTTTGCTTTCCCTCTTAGAACTTGGATCCTAGGATTAGAGAGGCAGAAATACATAGAAAGAATATAAAAACAAAAGAAGTGAAAATAAGGTGAAAGAGGAAGTGAGTGTAGGGTTATAGATTATAATGAGTCAAATTAAAAGACATGGAAATTTAACAACTTGAGATTCCATAGATGACAACCTTAAAATCAGAAATGAAACTATGAAGACTGGTACATGTCCTTATTCGCAATCCCTTTTGTAATCACTACAACGTTTGTTAGGGCCACCTTTGTTTTTGGGTGGCAAGCAGCTACGATAGTTTTGGGTGGGTGGGCAGTCAACAGCTTTGTTGTTTTGATTGCCCGTTTGGCCATTCACGGATTGACTCACATCGTACAGCATTCTTGCCACATGCGAGCCGAACGAGAACTCTGAGTCCATGTCGTTTCCGATGAGGCAATCCTCTGTGACACAATTGTTGGCGTTGATCACCATGATGACCTTGTCGTGGATCACAAGGATCAGAAACACAAAGAAG